ACATATACATATACATATAAATGTACGTATATGTGTACACATGCGGATGCATGTATGAAACTCATGTGTGCACGCTGACTTGGGGCAAGGACGGGAGGAGTTGCGGCGGTTTCAGGATGGCAGTGGGGAAGAATGCATGCTTGGATCAGGAGCGCCCATCTGAAGGTGAGGTTATAAGCCCCAAGCCCTAAACCCCCCAAGACCAAAATCCAAAGCGAGCCAAAACAGTGAGCGACAAAGCATTACGATCGAAAGGTTTAGTTGGAGCTTGACTGATGTCTCTGAGCCGAAATCCTAAAAATAAAAACCGCGAACTGCAGTGTCTGAAGCAGAACTGGCTTGCCGCCGGTACGTCGGAGATTAGGGTGTGGGGACCTAGCTTCTTGAAGCCGTGAAGCAGGATGCCCTCATAGGGTTTAAGGGTTTAGGGCTTAGGACGCCCTGAACCCCACAATTAAGCCCTAAACCCTATACCCTGAACACGACGATGCCCTCAACTGGCCTGCAGAAATGGGTTCGGTGTTGATGGGGTCGTAGTCGCATTGGGCACCGACTCGACCTCAAACGGAGAATACAGTTGCGTTACTGTTTATTACTGGTTGCAACGATGGGTTTAGGGTTTCTTTTGAGCACCTTTTTCCGCGTCACCAATCCAGCTAGGCAGAATCCACATTGTGGAAGGCACGTCGAAGACTCCCCTGGAAAGGGGTTTAGGGTTTATGTTACAGTAGAGTGAAATAGACATAACCCTTGAGGATATCATGTTTTTTTCAAGACACCAAGAGGATCGCAGCTACTCAGCAACGACATCGAAGGGTCTCACAGAGACACTTCGAACCATAACCGCAAACCGCAGAACGACAGCCATCATGTATCCAAACCCTGAAGAACCCGAAGCCCTGAAACTCTGAAACCCAAAAGAGCAACCTGAAGCCCCAAAAAGTCTTCAACCCTAAACACAAAAAACCCTGAAGCCCTGAAAGAGACCAGAGACCTTCCCGACCAAGAGACTGCCCCCCCCATGTACGATAATATACCTATGATAGCATACTATAATATACTATAATATACTATAATAAACTACTATCATATACTATAAGACTATAATATACTATAATATACTATAATATACTATAATATACTAAGGCTAGACCCTAAAAGTTTAGGTGGTTTAAACCCTATAACATGAACTAATCCTTATAGAAGCCCTGGAAGCCGGCTTTGGAGTAGCCATACCTGAACCCCAAATAACCTACCTTTTTCAAGGACTTCTAAACAGAAATCCTAATAAGGAGCCCTCCAAAAGGTAGGCATTACTTACAGGGTCCAGGTAAACCCTTAACCCTAAACCCTAAAACCCTAAACCCTAAACCCTAAACTCTCAACCCTAAAACCCTCTAGACCCTGCAAAGCCTAAACCAAGGCAGGACCTCTAAACAGCGGCTGGGCGTGGAGATCGGCGCCGACAGAGGCAGCTGCCATGGTGTCCGGGGGCTGAGCAGCATTTCAGCCTGTAGGGGGCTTGAAGAAGTTTTTTAGGGGGCTTAGGGTCTTGGGATTTCCGGTGTTGAGGTTTCGCTTTGAGCTTTGTTCGGCACTGGGGGTTTTGAATCCTAGAGGGTGGCCCTCAGGGGTCCGAGAGGCTCATTTGCAGACGTTTTCAAACTGAGGTCTGTGCCATGCGGTCACGGCGGGGGTTCAGGGTTGCAGCTCGGGTTGAATGAACGAAGTTTGTAAAAAGAAGGGCCCATTTTGAGGACTTGCGAACCAATTTTGCGATTAGGGATGTGACACGCGCAGGCCTGCGGCTGCGGGAAGACGGGTGATGTAGAGAAGGGCGCCATGCAGGGCGACGGCAGCGGCTCTTTCGGACTCATCTGCAGCTCGGCCTACGGCGTGGTGAAGGGTCTCGGATTTTAGGTTTAGGGCGCTTGTCGTCTGGGGCTTCGGATCAGGAAGACCATCGGATCAGGAGAGAAGGAACACAACTCCTTTGCTTGTGAGGACGGGCAGAACTAGAGCGACAGTGCTGGTTCATCGTAGCTCGAAGTACAGCAACACAGTCATCACCAGCACCGTAATTACCCCTTCCCTGGCCCAAGAGAACTTGGAACCTGCGATAGAGTCCACGGTGTCGCGGGACAGATCGCTGCAGGGCGCGCCTCGTCCCCGGCTTGCATAAAGAGATACTCGGTACTGCTGGCATGTTCTTCTATTTAATGGTGTTTTCGTCTTGGTCTTCCTGATCCTACCACGCATCCGCACGGTTGTGGGAAAACGTATAGACTTCTCCCTGTTCTCATGTCGAGTATGGCGGCATCAGAAGAAAATTCAGCTGTTGAAACTCGCCTGTGGTGTGGCAACCGGCACCGCTGCGGAGAAAGCTGGCATCAAGGGCGCTCCAGCGCTTCGCACAGAGTCGGCCTGTTTGTGAAGGATCAGCATTTCTCTTCTCCAAGCTGCCCTGAACTGATGCCAAGAACGATTATTATTGTCACTACTGCAAGTCTCGTTATAGGTAGATGTTTTTTATTAAAGAATGATGTCCGACAGTCCCTGGGCTATGCATGAACCACGAAGCTTGCAGCTGGAACCCTGCTATGCCAACGCGCAACTTACTTGTGAAGTCTTGATGGTGCCAGCATGTTGGGCAGACTGACTCCGACAAAGACCACACTGCAAATGACTGCGGAAGGCGAATTGGCACGAGACTACTCCTCTGATGCGCCTCAGTCCAAAACAGAAACGTCGAAACCCGTACCCGTCCTTCCTCAAGCCGGAAATCACCAAATCCACCCCGTGATCCCCACAGAAGTCGCGAAAGGACCCGGCTTGGACCTGCGAAGCGAGGGAGTCAGTTCCCAAGGCCACGGCCGGCCCAGGTCTCAGCACTGCCTGGGACCGGAAGACGCAGAGTCCATGTGGCTTAGCATGTAAGGCTTAGGATTAGAATGGATGGTGCAGAATGCTGCAGAAGGAGCCGCAGCAAGCAGCAACAGGAGTTGTAGAACTAGCAAGAAAGAAGAGGAAGCCCAGTGGCCGTAGCAGCCGTAGCAGCAGCAGCCACAGCGTCGCAGTAACACGAGTACCAGAATTGTAGGCTATGAAGTCTGCCAAGTTGCTGGAGTCTGCTCCTCAGGCTTTGGTGCATCCAGCAAACGAGGTCCTTCTGCCTCTCCGTCCTGCCAGGCAAAGAGCAGTCCGAACCGGATCCGGCCGGGATCTCTATCGACTCTATAGACAGAATCCGGTGTACTGTCTACTGCCACGACGCTGTAGTCCTTGCGGTCCCCGTGTCCCTGCTATGGCTCCAGAATGTGGGATGGTAAGGTTCGGGCACACGTCAAGGCTTCCGGAACACTAAGTAAGGTTCACCAAGTAGACACAGCGTACTTCAAACTCGAATCGAATTTTTCCCTGCCCCTGCAGCAAGGTCCTCTGGCACAGGAGACATCGGCGCAGCAACTGCCAAGGTGAGAAGTCGAGGAGAAAGAAGCTGAACGATTGCAACATCACTGCGCCAAAGACGCGCCTGCAGATCGACCCGCGCGCGGCACGATCTTGAAGGAGCCACAGGCCTGCACCGCACATGACCTCAAAGCAAGAGGCTCCCTCACTCCAAGGTTTGGAGCAGAGCCCTGAGCCTGGGGTCCCGGCTCTTGTGGGGAAGCTAAGGCTGAGAGGGAAGGAGTTCCCTTCGACACCGGATCAGTCGAGCTGGGAGCAGGTAGAGGCTGAGGTATCTGGGCCGGCAGGGCACCAGATGCCCAAGGCCCAGCTGCCGACGTCGCTGCAGCTAAGACAGGTCGGTAAGCCAGTACCGGTGTTGGGCAGAGCTGAGGTGATTGCAGGGATCCTGGGAGCGGCTGCGATGTGGCGATGTGTGGTTGCGCTCCGCAGAATGTGGGCGCTTGGGTGCACTGAGTTGCCAAGACCCGTGGCATCCTGGGCTCTTCTTGGGGGACACATATACATATATATATTTATTTATTTTTTTTTCAAGTTACCATAATAAGGAAACCCTGTAGTTTACCATAGACCCCTATTATGGTAGCCTGAAGCAAGTTCCTTAAAAGCCTTAAAAAGGAGCCCAGCATCGGCGGCGCAGCCTGAAATGGGGTCAGGGCAGGCTGGGAGCTTCCAGGCCCGACTTTGAGGACCGGGTCCACGGGGAAGTGGGGCCCAGCTGGGGCGGACATCGGAGGGCATGGAGCTGCAGCCAGCGTCAGCCTGGTGGAGCTTTCTGCAAGCAACAGTGACGTTGTGGTAGTGGCAGGATCTCACCATGATGATGATGATGATGATGATCATGATCATGATCATGATCATGATCATGATGATGATGATGATCATGATCATCATCATGATGATCATGATAATGAGGATGATGATGGTACGCATGATGATGACGATGATGATGACGGTGATGGTGAGGGTGAGGATGAGGATGATGATGATGATGCTGATGATGATGATGATGATGAGGGTGATGGTGATGGTGATGGTGATGATGATGATGATGATGATGCTGGAGGTGATGGTGACTGTGATGATGATGATGATGAGGATGATGGTGACGATGATGGTTATGGTGATCTTACGGGCGACGGCCCACTTGCACCACTGCTGCTGCTGCTGCGTGGCATCTCTCTCGGGTTTGCATTAGCGGCCCGTGGCGGCGTAGACACAGTTGCCATAGCAGTGCCCTCATTGGAACTGATGTTCGCCCAGTGCGCTCAGAGTTGGGCCCAAGGTTTAGGGTTCCGGGTCGGTGGTGTAGGGTGGCTGTGGCATGAGCATTCGCTAGAGGCTGGGAAACAACTAAGGAAGGACTGGCAAAGAGGGATAACAGGATAACATGTAACCAAGACGTAGCTATGAACCAAGGATGCAGCATCCTGCAGGCATCTCGACTACAACAAGGCTTCCGTCCACTTGCTACATGGTCGGAGTATGCATCTTTTATGCAAGGTCGCGAGTTTGACACGCTTGTCTCCGCACGAATGCTAGACCACCGGCCATCCTGCACCTTCACGACCTCTTGCATTGCAATCTGCCTGTCCACGTGTGCCGCAGGAACCTGCAAAAATCCTTGGTGTTGAGTCAGCTCCGAACGGTGAGGTCAGCGACAAAATCCGCATACGTGTACTCCGTCGTGTCCTTGTCGCCTTGGGACTTGCAGGTGCAACCTATAAATATCTCTTCAAAAGCCTAGGGCGGCAAAGTCCAAAACTTGCAAAGGCAGTCTCGCAGGACGAAAGCAGACCTGTTGACTCTAGCACTTTGCGGGCTAATCTTATGCAGGTCTATCTCTTCTGCAGCCAGAGGATCAGTTGTAGCGGACATTCGTCGGACCCGGCGGCATGTAGAGGATGCCAAGGCCGTCAATGAGCTGCTCGATGACCTTGACGATGCTGGCGATGATGGTAAGGAGCACAGTCGCATGAGTCTGCTACTTATGCTTATGCGAGGTACGAACGCGAAAGGGAGGAACACGATGAAAACGATGGGGACGGCGATAACGATGACGGTGGTGGTGGTGGTGGTGGTCCACCACCGTCTCAACGCCACCACTACCACCTCCCACTCCTGGAGCCCGTTACGACAACTCCTGCTGCCACTGCTTGATCACTATCCCTGCCACTGTGGATTCATAGCTCCGGGAAAACACGGCGAAAGCCCCGTAGTCAAAAGAAGCATGCACTCAAGGTCAACCGGGGCTGGTGCCTGTTCAAAAGGGCGGGAAATACTCCAAACGTCTTCCCAACCAGAAGAAACAAAACATGTAGTGTAGTAGTGTCAGATTGACAAACTACCCATCAGAGAGCAGCTCAGCTCCTGTGATTTTGGTCCTCACATCTTCCTCATGGTGCATATCGGGCAGAGCGTAGCTGGTTTACCCGGATCTTTCAATATCCCTTAATTATGGAATATACCCCAAAGCCTATCAGGGATCCTATATATACTTTAAGGCATATTCCTCAATTAAGGGATCCTGGAAGATCTGGTTTACCTCACCTGGTGAGGCGACCGCCGGCCTCCGCAGCTCCGTCCAGCCGATCCTCCTGAGGTACTCGGTTTGTATCGCCAGCCAGGATAATCGATGTGCCACGGTACTGCTCCTTGGAGCAAAGTCTGTTCTGCATACATACTCTATATATATATATATATGCTTTATCTATTTATGTTATCTACATGTATTTATACATAACTCAAAAGTATGTGTGTGTGCATATATATATATATGTGATTACCAGCAGGCGCCCACGCAGGCATGTTGAGATAGCGGGGTATGCTTCGGGGTATGTTTCGGGGCATGATTCGATGTTTCGCGGCCATCTTTGGGGGGAATCCAACTGCACCATTGAAGGCTCAGGGTCAGGAAGGTAACTAAACCCCAAACCCTAGCAGGTGTTTTCAGTGGCTTGTGGGGATTGCGCAGGGCAAGCGTTATCCTAGGGCAAAACCTCGTCTTAAAGCCCCAAAAGCCTTACAAGCAATACGGATTCTGGTAAAAACGTTGTCTTTTTGGGGGTTCAGGGGGCGGGCCTGGGGCCTGCAGCCATTGGGATGCAAGGCACAAGTTTCTGACTTCATGACTTTCAGCTTGCCTGCTAGGCACGCCCATAAAGGGCCATCACTTACTTCAACACCGTCGTGGCTATGAAACGCATCTGAATCAGGTATGATTCAGCATTTGCTTCGCGGGCCTCTATAGTTCTCTACATCTCAACGACTGCAATTTGTCAATTTGATTTGGCGACGCCGGGAACTCCGCTGCCAGTAGTACTAGTACTGTACTAGCACTAGTAATAGTCGCAGTAGTAGTGTGGCAGTAGTGGTAGTGGTAGTAGTAGTAGTAGTAGTAGTAGTAGCAGTAGTAGTAGTAGTAGTAGTAGCAGTAGAAGTAGTAGTAGTAGTAGTAGTAGTAGACTATATTGTGAAATATAAAAATTTCTGTAGCTCAAAGTTCAAAGTTGGCGCCCGAAGAATCTTGGAGCCAAGGCTCCTTGCAGATCGCGACAATGGCTTCCAAGTCCTTCCTCGTTTGCCTTGTAAGGGTTTCGGGTTTCGGGTTTAGGGCTTAGGCGGTTTATGGGTCTAGGGTTTAGGGGTTTAGGGTGTTGCTTTAGGGTTTCGTGTTTGGGGGTTTAGGGGTGTAGGGTTTAGGATCTTGTCTGCCTCACGGACCGAAAAATCCGCTGAGACCTGGGTTTACAATAAAAACCTACAACTGAATAAGGTTTCGGTGGTCTTATAAGGTAGTATCTTGACCTCGTCATACAAGGAATCGAACCAAGGCCCCGGCTTCGACTCCTTTGTGCCATAGCCATCGAACGTGAGGTGCACGTTTAGGATCACGGCATTCAGCGCCGGAACCCGTACAGCGTGAACTTTGCCTCATGTATGCACTTGAAGAGGAAGTCTACTCTATCTCCATCTCCCTGGCCAGAAGAAATCCTTGCCCAAAATAGCCCAACTCAAAACCATCTACCCTAAACTCTGAGCCGTAAGCAGACAATTTGTGCTTCCGAGGCACCCTTCATTCGCGAAAGACGCGGAAGAGCTATGGGAAATGCTTCCCTGCTGCGATCCCACACGACGGTCACAAACTCGCCCTCCTGGGTTTAGGGGTTAGGAATTTTTAAAGTTCAGGATTTTGGTTTAGGATGTAAGGTTCTGGATTTGGGGTTTAGCGTGGTGCCAGGCCGGTTCTGACTCTTCAAAAACGAGGTCGCTGCACGCAAAACGAGATCGGGGGGGGGGGAGGACCTCTTGGCATCAGGCATGCCCTATCATCTTCAGGGGTCCTTATAGCGAGGATCCTCTCCATGTGAAAGGTTCTTTAGGGTCCCCTTTCGGGCCCCCCCCAAATGGTCACGGCAGCTTTATCAAAAGAACCTGAAAAAGGGACGCTCAATTACTGGAGAACTACCCATATGAAGGTCCCGAGTTGTTTCAAACTCCCAACCTGAAGGATGGAGTAGTCCTGCTCTTGCAGTGATCTGAGCATTTGTGGCAAGGCTTCGTGTCCAAACTCGTTCCGCGACACATTGGCGTTCTCCTTGTCACCCGAAGTCTCGACGACAGGCACTAGTGGAGGTAGTACACGTACCGAAAAACTTTGGGAGTTAGCCTCAACGCATCGCATGAAGTTTTACAGGCCAGGACACACGCAGAGGGCATTGTGCTAACCCACCCCCTTGGAGACAACCGCAACAGATTCACCCCCTCCGACTCCGAAATTCCGACGCTTCTTGCAGTTGCACAAACCTGACCTTTCAAGGCCACTGAGCATGGCTAGTTCAAAGCGTTTCTGAAGACATGATGTAAGACTTAGCGAGAAGGCTAGCAGCAGAGACATTTCTACAAAGTCATTGCAAAACTGACTCCCCAAACTCTAAATCCCAACCGACCTGAATCAAGATCACGTCGGGCTCATGGGCCCTGGCAAAGGCGCTGATGTTGTCGGCTACGCGCCCCAGCCGCTCCAAATAGGCAGCCTGGCGAGGATGCCCCGGATGGTTTAGGGTTCTTTAGGGCTTTTAGGGTTTAGGGCTTAGGGTTTTTCAGGTTGTAGTTTCGGGATTGTGCAGGTACTCTGAACTATTCTAATCCTTATAATAGCTTATAACTTTTAACCTTAAGCACTGAACATACTGAAACCACGGGAAACTGTATACCAGGAGGTGTAGTAATTCCGGGGAATCCTAAAAGGTTTACGATGCCGAAGCTTAAGCCTTGGCATCACAGAGCAGCCTAGGCTGTGACTGGAGATTCTGTCAGTGGGTGGATCTCATCACAAACACCATCAGCATCACCATCACAATCATTATCATCGTCATTCTGGCGGTGGTGGTGGTGGTGGTGGTGGTGGCGGCGGCGGCGGTGGTGGTGCTGCTGCTGCTGTGGTAGCGGTGCTCGTGAGGTACAGTGGTACAGGTGGTCAAAAATGCTGTTGCTACGCAGCAGAAGTGCCGACAGCGACCGAAGTCTGCTTTTCCTACTGCTGCTTCTTCTATGCTGCGCCGCCGGGACGCCGTGGTCGTCCGTCTCGTTCTCGTCCTGGTGCTCGTTACCGCCCTTCGCCGAGCCGAGGTCGTGCCCGTTGTGGTCATGGTCGTCATTTCTCCTCTTGCTCCTCTCCGTCCTCTTCCTCCGTGTCCTCCTCCTCCTGCTCCTGCTCCTCCTCTCGTCATGTAAGTTCTCGTCCTCGTGCTTCTTAAAATGTCCGGGCAGTCGCTGTCGAGGCTGTTGCTGCAGTCCTCGCCGTAGCCGGCGGTGATCACGACCATGCTGAGGATGATGACAGAGATGCGAGGATGATGAGGATGTGAGGATGATGCGGACGACATATGACGATGGAGATTCTGACCGTTTGCGCATCGTCATCTTCAGCACCGCCTCAGCATCAGCATCATCGTCATCATCATGGCCATCATCAGAAGCATCATCATTATCACCATCATCAACATCGTCATCGAGATCATCATCATCGTTATTATCAGCACCATGGTACAATCAAACCCCCCGCTCCAGCATCAACCATAACCACCAATGCTTCCCATGCCTCGGACTCAGAGCGGCGATTGAACCCATCGTAGGGAAACCCCCAGCGCTCGTTGAATCCGAACCTGCGCCGAGTGAGTAAACACAAGTGCGCGCATGGATAGGTGGGTCACATGTGAGTAGATAGTCATAGACAAGTGGATACACCGGTAGACAGATGGAAAAACAACATTAAACACATGCAGGAGAAGATGATGTAAGATCAGACACGATATGATAAGGTAGAGTAAGGTGCTTTGGCTTTCGGCTTCTTGCTTCAGCACTTACCTAGTCACCACCTCACCTAACTCACTCGTTCACTTATTGACTCGTTGGCTCATTTGCTTAATCACTTACTCACTCCCCGACATGTTTACGTACCTGCTGATGACTGAAAAACTCACCTACCTACTTGCCTGCGTGCTTGCATGCTTCATGGAACTTACTGACCGACTGACGGACCGACTAACTGACTGCTTTACTTCATTGCTAACACTTTTCCCCTTTGCCGGGCTATTGCCATGTCTCCACAAGCATGTTTCTTCTTCTGCTTGGTTGATTCTACATTCCCTGCGAGTTCCCCTTCTGTTTCATTTACTTTAGCACCGACACATGCAGAGGTATACGCATACGCGCGCGGGTGTACTTGTATACTGGTATATACATGCATACATACATGCGCAGATAAATGGACTGGTCTACATAAACAGGCTACATGGCCACACATCTATCGCATCTATGGGTAGTCCGTTGATTTCTATGCACACGCCTACACGCCATGAGATTCGAAAACAACAGTGGCCTGCTCAATCCTCAATCCTCACCGTCTGAGCGTCGGGCTTGCACAGTATGTTCCACGACACCAAAACGAGGCTGCCGCCTACACGTCAGGGACTTTGGGGACTCCTACTAGGGTTCAGGGTTTAGGGTTTAGGGCTTGCAGATACGGATTGGACTGTAGGCGGGTGTGCACCACAGCTGCTTGCCGCAGGGCGTCTGGACGGGTTTTTTGGCTTTTGATTCCTGAAGAGAGCTTGGTTGAACAAGTTCCTGTTGCGTCTCATCCAATCTGTTCCTTGCTAACTTAGGATGGCTAGGTCCTTCAACCCCAATCTTGGCTCGCCTGGCTGTTCCAATCGACAAAGCAGAGCATTGTGGTCAGAGTCGCTTGCCCGCTTGGGGTCCACAAGCTCTCCAATGAACTCGAAACCTCGGGGGGCCAAAGTCTGAAGATTTCAGGGGGCTTTGAGGGTTTGGGGATGCTTGGGGTTTGGCGTTGGGGGGTTTAGGGCTTAGGGTTTAGGGCTCGGGGTTTAGCGTTTAGGGCTTAGGGTTTGGGGTTTAGGGTTTGGGGCTTAGGTAAGGGTTCAGGGCAGCCTACCAACACTAAGGCTAAGACCTAATCCTTTAGCCCTGAACCCGCGCCCCAAAACCCCTAAAAAGCCCGGAGACCCAAATCAGCCTAAATCCCAAACTCCGTAAACCCTAATTAAACCGTTTTAGCCCTGAACCCCTTCAACCCTATTTTAATGGCTCTAACAACCCCTACCTGGTTGTAGGTACCTGGAGGGTTGGGGAACCTAGAACCCTAAACCCTAAACCCTAAACCCTAAACTCTAAGCCCTAAACCTTAACCCATAGGCCCTGAAAAAAAAGTCAAAAGGAGACAAACGCCGCTGAGACGCATGGCGCGCTCGCGGGCGCGGCCCGTTTCGAACCGCTGGCTGCCATACTATACTTTAATATATATATAATAATAATAATACTAATAATATACTATAATATACTATTATAGTATCAGATAATATAGAATAATATACTATAATATACATAGTATACTATAATATTCTATAGTATGCGATAATATACTATAGTATATTTTGAAGTACTGTAACATGCTGGAAACTACTATAATATACCATAACATATTATGATATAGTATCAGTACTGTACATACAACGATGTATAACAATATTCTAAACTACACCGCACTATGCTGTACGTCACGAGCCGCCAGGGGGGTGGATTTGGGATTGGAGGGTTTCGGGTTTATATAGGCTTCAGGGCTTGGGGCTGAGGTTCAGGTTTTAGGGCCTAGGGTTCAAGAAGACCAGTGATGGTCCTGTTTCGGACAGTATTCACATGCCTGAGAATCAGCCTCCTGCGGAACGGGGCATGCCTGCATAGCTGGACAGATCATGAGAGAAATTTGAAGATGTGGGAACCCTGTACAAGCAAGGGATCAGGAGGACACGAAGTGAGCTGTCGCGCCGCTTGCCGAATGCGATGTGCTAATTCCAGACTTGCCGACGTCCTGCTTGTAGACTGTGCCGGCTATGACACATAGGCCATGATCTTTGAAGATGTCGACTGGTCGCAGGACGGTCATGACAAACACTCACGATACAGATCGCAAGAGCGGCTATCGTCATGACGATCCCTGAGATACCAATCCCGAGTGAGCCTTATCACTGCATCACTGTGACTGTGCTTGTAACGAGAATGAACAGCGTGACTATCGTCGTTGCCATTTCTGGCGATGCGCAGTCATCACTCTGGTCGGCAGCACAAAGAAGTCGTCGTCGTGGCAGCCGTGGCAGTGGCAGTGGCAGTGGCGGTGGTAGCGGTAGTGGTAGCAGCAACAGTGGCAGCAGCAGCAGCTGCAGCAGCAGCAGTAGCAGCAGTAGCAGTTAGAGGAGCCGGAGTGGAATGTAGGAGTGTGAGTAGGAGTACGAGTAGGAGGAGTTGTAGGACCTTGTAGGAGCAGCAGGAGTGGGAGTAGGAGCGGGAGCAGTAGGACGAGCAGGAGTAGGAGTAGGAGGAGTAGTAGCAGGCAAGAGTTGGTGTTGGTTTTGTCGTACAGGTACTCGTACTGCTATGCCCCTACCACACCTCTGCCGCTGCTGCTGTTACTACTGCGACAAGAGTGGTATTCACAGTTAGACTTCATTATACGAGTTGATATGTATAGACCGGCGACCAAATATCGAGCACTTGTAAACATTAGCAATTACACCCGATTTCCTTTCAGGCCAGCAACCTTCGGCATGCTACCGCACTCCTACCCTCCCGAAGATCTGCTTGGGGCTTGGGGTGCGAAGCACGATGCGGTACCCTGCAATCGAGCTTTTCCTGCTGAAAACGATCGGGAGAGATTCTGCCAAGATTGTGGAGATGGCGCCTCGACTGGTCTCCAGACTGATGTAGGGGCCTGTATAATTAGAATAGGGTCTTGGGGCCATTTTACTATAATTATAATAAGGAAGCACTATTGGTAATTAGTTAGGCCCCCTGTATAATCGAAGGCAACTCTGCAGGTTTCAACCCTTCACCAAAACGGCTTGACATGGTCCGAAGCGTGGCCTTCAGTAAACGAAGCCTGCAGCGTGGGTGTGTCAGTGCGTCTCTGTGTCCGTGTGCCATCCTCCGCAGTGGCTCCTTCGGCAAACGCGCCACGCTACGCCCCAATGGTTCCTTCCCAGAAGCCAAGCAGCATTACCATGTCCCACTCTTCATAGCAGCCTCTCCCTGCAGGCAGCAAGAGTGAAACCCGGAAAGTTTCTGAGCATCTTCGGAACCGGCCAATAGTTGCAAAGCTGTGCCAATGCCAAGCCGTCAACTCCAAAACCAAGACAATGCCGGGCCTCTGCGACTTGTCCAGCAAGCTGACATCCTCCGCCTCCGGCAGTGCTGTCTGCAAGGATGTTTTCGACCCAAAACATGAACTGAGAAACTCCAAGTCTGCACCAAAGGATATGCCGTTGCACCTCCAGATTCTCCAACTCCAAGATGGCGCTCTGTTCAGCTGCCTGCTTCTGGATAATGAAGCCTTGGCAGACCGTCCAAATGCCACTATCGCTCTTTATGGTTGGTGGAAATACTGGAGCCATGAACAGTAG